ATGCTCCATTCAGCAGAGGGTCACATTTACTTTCTCAAATATTACTTTTCTTTACCTTTCCTTCAGAACCTTGGGTTCCTCCCTCCCCTCAGCGTGGCACACAGAATTAGATAACACAGGATCTTATAACAGTTTGGAAATTACAAAACAATTCTATTTACTACATACCAGACTGCTCGAAGAGATTAAAGAGAGTGTCTTTTCAGTTTCATTAACATATGTATATCTCAACAGACTTAGACGTAGAATAATAAATGCATTTTGAAGAACAGTAAATGCTTGTTAGAAAAAGAGCATTTTTAAGGTTTAAAACAGCAAAAGCAGAAACTTGTCTATAGCGACAATAAGGCTTAGAGAGGAAACAGCAAGAGGATTGAAATGAAAACAAACAGCACACAGAAAACAAACAAAACTGTCTTTCCCCACTAAATCTTTTCCAACCAGTGACTGAGAATTCGGGTTAGTATGGCTTCTAGAGCACTTCCCATAGATGGGAAAACATAACAATAGTTACAGGTGGCTTCTAAGGGAGGTTGTCAAAAACTTGGGTCTTCAAAATTCCACGAAACACAGAATTGTCGGAGTAGAAAATACACCTCACGTTTCAGTTCCAGAATATACAGAAATTCATTTTATCTCCGTTTTTATCACAGAAACATCAGGTTTTACACACTGTCAGTGCCACTCTCATTGTCTACTCCAATCTGTTAGTAAAGTCATCAGGATGAGACTTAGAAATGACTGTCATTTAGGCACTCCTAGACTGTCTCATGGATTTGAGAGCTCACACCACCTGAACAGGAAAATAGTAAAGATGGATGGGAGAAAACTCCTACTGCTCTACATCAGCACTGACTTTAAAAGGAACACAACAAAACTGCAAGCAAAACAAGAAGTTCCATTTAATAAGCTTCTGCTCGCTGTTTCCCCAACAGCTCGGGGTTAATTTTGACAGCTCTGTGCACAAGTCAGTTAAGCATTAGGGATCACCTTCCTCATATTTGCCATAGGTGGACAAACACTCCTGAAGCTCTGACCTATTGACACAGCTCTGGTGACAGGGAAGAATCTACAGTGTATGCCTTTAAAATATACATGCAGGGAAAAAAAGCTATGCAGAAGATGGTTATGGAGAGGAAGGGGCTGGGATGTGGCAATTACTGGGAGTTGGAAACAACTATTTACTCTTCCACTGAATAACTTAAAAAAATAATTCACCATGGCAACAATCATACTTCATAGTAGATAAAGCACTGAATGCTACAAAGCCTTTGCAAAATGAATTATGCACCAGTGTGTAGCATGCACTTTCTTTATGTTACTGCACACATATTCCAACAAAATGTCCTTTTAGACTCATCTGGCATTTGCTTTTTCACTGCACCAAATACCATCTACTTTTCTGACTTCTGTCCCACTCTGATCTCATGGATCTGGAATTGTTGAAGGACTTTATTGTGTTCCATTCAAGAGACTGATATAAAATAATTAATGCATTAATTATTTCCTTAGGTTGAATTGAATGTTATATTGAAAAAGAAGAATTATTTCCTCTTATTCGTAATGGCTTCTTCCCCCACCATTGCTCAAACTGCATCATATTCAGAGTAAATTTGTATCAAAGTCACAATTATGACGATTGGTAGTACATTGTCTTCTCTATTTAAAATCCAAAGATAAATTATCAGGCTTTGACAGGACAACAGAAGTTCAGCAGCATAAAGACACACATTCCTAGCTCAGCCAAAGCAGTGTGAGAACTGCAGTCCACAACACATCTGTGAGGTTCAATAAGTACTTTCATACCAAGATCAGCCCTTCACAAATCAGCAAGTAATTCAGCCATGGAGGCACAGGACAAGGGTACAAGTAGAAAAGGCCATCGCCCCTGCCCCTGAGAGTTCCTGTTTGCCCTGAAGAGGATGCATCTAAGGACTGAGGCTGCACCAGCCCCACCGACCCACACCCCACACCCCCTGCTCTGGGTCAGTCCCACCCGGAGCTCACCTTTACTCACAGGTGTGAGGGGTTGTTCCTTCACAAACCCTGGGAAAGAACCCGAATGGAATGTGAGGAACCACTAGGTGTCAGCAGAAGAAAGTGCACGGCCACAGCTCCGAGCCCAAAAGCCGAGCCTGGCTTCCCAACATCACCCACCGGCTCAGGACTGCAAACCCCTTCCCACACAGCCAGCTCTGGGAGGTGACTACTGCGGGAATTCAGGCTTTAGACGATGACAAAAACAGCAAGACAATGGAAATTCGGAAATTTAAGTCATACCCAGGAAGATCATCTGCCTCAATACAGCCCAGAAAACACCCCACTGCTGCCGTGTTTGGCTGTACTTAACAGCACCAGAGGTGTGTGGTGACTGCACTTACATCACACCCAACACATGCTCTGCTGTACTCAGCATCCAGCTTGATGCAGCTACAGAAAACACAGTAGGGAACAGCACTGAATTCTGTCAAGTAAATCTTATTATTAGACTTGCAAATTGTATTACCTGGATATGTTTTTCCACACAATTTCTAATTACCAAAGGCCTCAGAAAGTTGATGACAACAGAAACTTCTCACCAGTGTTCTGGTGTTTATTTCCATTACACAACATTCCACCTCTGTAATAAAAGCCTCTGAACAGAATAAGAGTTCTTACTGTGCTCAGGTATAATAATGTGAATTTAAAGTCTGCTCTGTGACACATTCTGGACCTACACCGAATAATGAAAAATCAATTCACACCATTTATCCCAAAAAGTCAGCTCACACCAGTGAGATGGCCTATGAAATTAAACTGTCTTATGAAAGGAGGAAAAGCTGCTGCTTCTTTGAATTTATTTCCTAATTATCAGTGATATTAAATGAACAGTCAGATTCCTTGAGTTACAGGCCATGAAATGCGAAGAACCACATCATGTTTGGTATTGCTTTTGCCCCATATTTACCCCATGTGAAGGTGACACATGAACGTGAAACACTTGCAAATTTTCTTTATCTAAATCTAATACCAGAAGGTATAATCAGAAGCTAAATTTTTTGATTTACAAAAGGACTTAGGAAAGAAATCCCTGAAAATTTCCACTTCCCGATTACTAAATTGTATTTTATGACATATTTGTGCAGCTATGTTTACAGGTTTTCTTGGATAGAATGATAAGCAAACCAAACCATTTCTTCTACTTCCTCAGGTTAGCTGTCCCTCCAAGTTGCACTTTCTAGGGGTGTGCCACTGACAACTCATTTCAAACGTTCATCTTTAACATTCAGCCTTCAAAATACCAGATGGTATTTCCAGAACAGCAATTTAAATTTTTTATTTTCCTTCATAAATCCCTTAACTAGTTAATCTCACACACACACACACACACACACACATCCAGGCAAAGCATACACCAATATTCCCAGAGTTGCCTGGCAACTGCAGGGAGGAGCAGGGGAGCACAAGGAAGCCTGCGCGGACCGAGGGAGCCGCTCTCTCCCGGCAGGGATAGGGATAAAGGCGGCGCACGGCCAGGGTGCCTCACACGGCCCCGTTCCAAACACCTCCCCATCCCAAACACCTCCCCTCCTTCCACCTGAGACGCTCTGACAGCCCAGCTCTTACACCCGGACACACACACACCCAGACACACACACACACACACACACACACACACACACACACACACACACACACACACACACACACACGAGCCAAGACAATTTATTTTTTCCACACACACCGGTTCCCCCCGTGCTGACCTCAGAAGTCATTTCTGAACCCTGAATATGAATTGTTGAAATGGTGCTTGTTTGATGGTGATAACTGGGCTGTTTAAAATTCAGGCTGAGCTATTTTCTCCTTCCGGCTTTAAAAATAACAAGTAAGACAAACTGTAGGACTGAAGACACTTCAGTAACTGAAACATCCTCAAGAAACACTATGCTTTTGGCCTCCAAATGCTTGAGGTTGAGAAAAGGAGGTATTAAGACAAAAGGCTATTTTGTCCTCTACAGAGATCTTGTTAAGCAGCCACAGGTCTAAACAACAGCAGTTCAAACTGGGCCATGAATTGGGATTTACCAGTGCATTGGACTTGCACATGTGTGTGCTTCCCCTGTTTCAGAGAGAGGAACATAGAATATTCTGGAAATATTCTGGGGATCACTCTGCATTTAGGACATTTCATCCTCCATATTTCTGGGACATATCTCATGAATTACACATGGATGTTTTTCACACTATATTTACCCTGCCTATCAGCAAATGTACACGTTTTAGAAGGACCCCCCTAAGCACACAGTATCAAACCCAGAGTGTCACAAAACATGTGGAAATACATTAATTTGGCAGGACAGGGTTGCATTGAAGATACCTGCAGTAACCCAGGAACAGGTGCCTCACTAGAAGCAATAAAAACCAAGATCAAGCACAAAAAAGTCCTTCCCCCACTCCAATGGCACTAAACAAGAGATCAGCTCTGAACCAGGAGCAAGAGATTGAATTTCCCTAACAGACATTTACTGTCAATAGTTACAACTCCAGACATCCTTCATATTTCTGCAAAAAACACAATTTCTTTACTAATTATGTTCTTAAAATCCATGATTTCACAAATTTGCGTTTCACAGTTAAACATGCATTGTGTAAAAACTTTTATCTTTTACTGCCTTTAAAAATAACACAATGAAGAGATGGGTTTTGCAGGGAGAGGTCAGCTTTGCACTAGCCTCTTTTGATCAATTTATACTTTTTTACCATCTCTTTTCTAACTTGACTGCATTCAAAACCAAACAACACCCATACCTTTCCATAAGCAGGTTTCTCCCCGTGAGAAGGATCATGCTTCTGCAGCTCTTTCATTTTGGAGACTTGAACACTGTTTTCAGTACCAGGCAGCCAAAGAGCCACCATGCTGACCTTAGTAAAAGCAGGTTATGCTACACTTCAAATTGTTAGGTTCTTTCCTCCACCACAGCTGCAGATTTACATCTTATTCCTACTAATTGCCTACTTACAGGTTCAATTTTCAGGGCGTTTCTGTAGCTCCCAAAGAAAGCTGCTTGTGCTTTTAGAAACGCTCTTGCCACACCATCTCCAGTGGTTGTAGAGACTTTCTTCAATCTGTTCTTCAGTGCAGAAACCTGAAATCACACAGCAGGTCTAGATCACTCTCCTATCACAAACAAAGCGTAACACATTGGGGCACAGCTAAATGAAAAACGTGCTAACCACAGCAGCAGCTATGACAAAAGGCGACATTGTGAATTCAGAGTTGAATTTTTCAGTTCTAAAAGCATTACTTTTCAAGCTGTTTTGCCTCTCCAAGATACAATTGGATTCTATTCAGAAACCAATAGGACAATAAAAGCTTCATTGAACCTTCCCTCCTACTTAAAATCCGCTGCTAAGTACTGTTTTAAAGGTAGTCCATGAAGTTCTGTGTCATTTTTTATTAGAATCCATGAAAGAATTACAGATAAATTAGTCAAACATCAGATTAATAAGAGAAACCGCTCTGCATAGCTGGCCCATCCATCACCACCACGGCTAAGATCAAATTCAGGAGGTCTGAAAAAATTTGTTCGCCACAAGTCCAAGTTTTTTTTAAGGCTATATTCCCTTGTAGACTTAATGGAAAATAACCCCGTGAGAGCTGTATTTGAGGCTGGGGGGGTTCCCCCTCCAGCCGCTCTCCCATTGCCCCTCAGCAGCACTCGGGGAGCAAACAAGCACAGCACACTTGTGGGCTCAGACAGGGAGATACAGACCCATGAGGAAAAGGCTCGAATTAGGAAAATTAATTTAATTTATTGCCAATTAATATACAGTCAGATAGCGAGAAACAAAGACAGAAACTTAGACACCTTCCTTCGCTGCCTGTTCCCAGCTCAGCTCCCTGCCCCGATCCCGCCTCCCCTCTGCCCACACCAGTCCCAACAGCTCCTCCCGGACAATCCTTCCCCCTCACACTCTTCCTCACCCTACCAGGGGGTGTTTTGCCTGTTTTCAGATTGTTTTGAAGTGGTTTGTCAAGGGCTGAGCT